TAGGGTCGCGAAGCCTTGTCCTTGGCGGTTCGATTTGCGATGAGTGTGTAGCTGGCGGAAGAGACGGTGGGAATGGCACCTGAGAAACAGTGGCACAAGGATGGACGCAGCACAATGTTTGTTGCACCTTCGTGCATTCCCACAATCATGCATGCATTCATGCATTCCCACATTCATACATCCCTTCATGCTTCCCCACATTCACGCATCCCTGCATACATTCATACACGCTTTGCAATATTTCTACAGTAAAAACCAGCATCAACCGTTCAGCCCACTTGGCAGCGCAAAGAATGCGAAGCAAAGAGTGAGGTGACTGGGGGAGAGGAGCCAGTGGGGTGAGTAGAGAGTGCGGGAAAAACAAGGGCGGAGAAATTGGGCGAGTAGGGAGAGGAGAGAATGGGGAGAGCAGAGCGAGCATGCGGCAAAGAAGCTCACCCTTGACACACTTTGGTCTTGGTCATCCCATAGCCTTCAGAGCAAGCGCAGTAAGGCACCGGCTTGTTATTGTTGAACTCATCCAGCGCGGTTTTGCAGGAGGCTCCCGAGGGGCAGTCGCCACAGGGTGAGGCTGAGGGGTGGGATGGGGATGGATGGAGTGTGGTATGTGAGTGCAATTGCTAGTGGGCGATTGAGGATCTAGAGGGGCGGGCGCCACAGGGTGAGGCTGAGGAACACAGCAGGCAAGGGAGAAGGAAGGGATTGGGGAACAGTGGAATTGTCAGCTTTGAATGGTGGGCTGGGCATGGGTGTGGCGTGGTACAGATTCAGGAAAAAGGCATTCTAGAGCCATTCTACCAGGGGGCAGGCGCTACACGGTAAGGCTGAGGAAGCATGGCAGTGGGGAGAAGAATGGCAGAGGGGAGAAAAATTGTAGAGGGGAGGAAAATTGCAGAGGGGAGAAAAATTGCAGAGGGGAGAAATATTGCAGAGGGGAGAAAAATGGTAGAGGGGAGAAAAAATGGCAGAGGGGAGAAAAATTGTAGAGGGGAGAAAAATGGTAGAGGGGAGAAAAAATGGCTGAGGGGAAAAGCAAGGGATATGTAGTACGGTGGCGATATAACCATGAATAAGGGGTGCAGGTGAGTGCAGTGCGGTATGTGGGCGTGGTTGCTGGGGGGGCTTGAAGCTTCAACATGGACGAGAGGGGAAGGAGGTAGGCTGGTAGGAGTCTCAAATGTCCACTCTCATGCAACGTTCAAAGATGGGCCGCAATTTTGCCACTGCTCTACAATTCCTCAAAGGATTTTAGTGTAAAATACCGTAATATACTAATGCATGAGGTGAGCTGAGAATGGGAGAGCTAGAAGGCTCACCCCACTGGCAGGAAGGCTCTCCGGTCTGATCCACCACACAGGTGCCATCAGGCTCACACCCCAACGCCTTACAGGCATGATCTGCAGCAGAGGAGAAAGGAATGGGGCAAGAAACAGAAAAACGAAAAGTCTTATAGATGGCATAGGTTTATCGGAACGACGCAGGATGCGTTTTCATCACAGAAGCAGGTGTTTTTAGGCGTCTCAAATATTCTGATTGCAGTGGACTGAAAGATACAGCTGATTGCATCACATAAGGAAAGATCCCATTTGCTCTATATGAAGGCACAAGTGCTCGCAATTCAAGCATTTGCAGCATCCCAGCCGCTCTTCGGAAATGACAACCTTCGGATTCACACCCTTTGGAACCAGACCCTTCGGATTCACACCCTTCGGAACCAGACCTTTCTAGGAGAACATACGTCAGGGAGTCAGGGATGGATGAACGTACCAGTGGAGACATCGCAGAGAACAGACGCCACTGACGCCCCCTTCCGAATCGTCTTCCCCGAGCTTGGGAACCTGAAGGGCGCGGCAAGTGGAAGCACATGAAGGGCGCGGCAAGTGGAAGCACATGAAGGGCGCGGCAAGTCGGAGCACATCACTCACACACGCTCGCACAACGTTGATGTTATCCCCTCCCCATCCCTTCCTCCTCCCCTCCCCCTCCGCTCCAACTGCGTCCCCTCTCCAAGTCATGCGCCGCTGTGTCCTCTAGTCGTGCCTCACACATGGTCACACCACCCAAGCTCACACCATCACACACACCACCCAAGCTCACACCATCACACACCACCACCCGACACTCACTCGCCCGCAGGAGTGATTGGTTCAACCAGGCTATCCACCTCCTTGCCCTGACAGCGGGTCTTCTCAAAGAACTTGATCTGCGAGCACGAGATTACGTCAGCCTTGTTGTCCGAATCCACTTTCTTGCTCGAGCCCCGCCCCTTCCACCACACCTGCACGCTCCTCTGCCTCGTCGCCCCCGGGGGAACGGCCACGCAGCGCTGGTTGGTGAATTTCAGCAGCGCCCGTGATCCCATCGCCAACGTGGTGGTAACCCCACTGCTGCTGCCGTCTACCAGCGACACAAAAGCTGCAGGGGGGTTTGTAGGATGTTTGAACATGCTTAGGTTTAGTAAAAAAAAAAAACGGGAAATGGTGGTGGTGCTGTGGTGGTGTGAACAATGGTGCTGTTGCCATTCGTGATGCCGCGGGGGGTGACAGAGGGAGGCAGGAGCACGAGAGAAGGGGACTGACCGCAAATTAGGGCAAGGGCGAGCAGCAGGAGTCCCGCAGGAGAGGCACCCATCGACCCCATGATGATGATAACGGTGGGGTTCCCGCGTGAGAGGCGGCGGACGGGACGCAGAAGACGAGAGTTTGTGCTGTGTGATGTGCGGTTCACGCCGGTGCAGTGTCACACTGAGTGTGCTGCTGCGGCGGTGTAGATCAACGTTTAGTAGTCCTCCAGCGCAGAATAGTTTGATGCAATAGTCCAGCGCAGAATAGTTTAATGCAATAGTACAGCGCAACGGGCAGAACCCGGAGAAAGGAAAAAAAAAAATCAGAGATGGAATGGGCTTGCTTCGGACTCGGTTGCGATTTATGCTGCGAGTTACGGCGATTGTGGGCTAACCGTAACAGCCAGCGCCACGCCATTATTGTAGCAGAGAACGCAATGCGTGCGGAGTCAAGCTAATATTGAATCGGTAATTATTTTAATGTGGGGAACGCGATACTATCGTGCTAGTATAGTATTAGTTGCTTGGCTCGTGCGCACGACATGGTAGTAGAAAAACGAACGCGTGCAGAGTCAAGTTAATCTTGAACCGAGATTATTTTGAAATGTGAGGAACACGGTAGGTGCTTGGCTCGAGTGAGTCGCGGGAACATTGACAACTGATTCTACTCTACGGGTTTGTATTGAACATAGGAGTTTGTAGTCTTCTAGTATTGGACATTGACACCTGATTCTACTCCTATGTCCAATACAAACCCGTAGAGTAAAAACCTGACTGCGCTTGCAATGTCATTGCCAACAGCTAACTTGACGCCTGATGATCTGAAAAATGAGATGCAGCAGCGGCATGGGACTAAATCATCATATGCAACAGCGTGGCGGGCCCTTAGGGACCTTAAAGAGAACGATCCCTTGCAAACTGAACAATCCTATGAGTTCGTCCAGAGCATAATGGAGAGGCTCGTAGCAAAGAACCCTGGGACATTGGTCTACTTCAGCAAACGAGAGGGTCGTTTTTTCAGTGCTTGTGTGATACCAAATGTTGCGCGGTTCACGATGTTGAATGCTGTGCCGATTCTGATTGTGGACGGATGCCACAATAAAACAGTATGGGGGGGGCACACCATCAACCTTGTCGTACTTGATGGGGATGGGCACTATGTATCAGTGGGCATAGCTTTTGTTGAGTCTGAAAGCGAGGAAGGGTGTTCTTTGCCGTTGAGAATGTTGGTGCGCGTATTTCCAGAGCTGAACACCGCGTCCTGGATTGTGAAACACGACCGTGCCAAGGGATGGGATGCCGCGTGTCGTTCGGTGCTTCCCAATGCGAACGTCTCGTATTGCATGACCCACCTGACACGCAACTTTAGGGCGAAATTTGGGCTCGATTTGAGTCAGCTCATTAGGGAAGCATCCGAGTCATTGACGGAGGGGTTGTACGAGTTTCGCATGGGAAAAATAGAAGCGCTTTGTCCGGGAGGTCGAGCGTATCTGGAGGGGGAGGATGGGCAATTGGCTGCAAAATGGGCAACAGCCAAGTTTCCAAGGCCAAGGTTTGGGTGTCTTACGTCCAATCCTGTGGAGTCTCAACACGCATCCATGTCCACATTGCGGGATAAGGCAATTGCCTTTGTGATTTTAAGTTGGGCGTTGAGACTCGCACTAACACGTTGCGATCGCTTCACGGCATACTCCAAGTCCTCGGGAGAGTGGAGCACAATCGCAACGGAAGTAGTGCGTGCCAACTTCCGTGATTCTGCAAGCTACACAGTGCGGGAGCTTCCAGAAGGGCGTTGGCTGGTCAAGCACACCGAACGCAATGAAGCTCGAATCGTGGACCTTACGGACAAGACGTGCACCTGCAACTACTCCAGGTATGATTTAGAGGCAGCTAACGTTTTAAATACATTGTTATGCTTTGCTGGTTCCCTGAAAATCCTCCTCCCTGTCAGATGTCTTTGTCATTACATAAACAAACATGCTGTCTTCTAAATCCCAAATATCCTGCAGGGAATATGGCCTGCCTTGCGTCCACATTTTTGCGGCATCGGGAGAAGATAGCCATACATTTGACCAGGTCCATCGAGTCTACAGATTGGAAACGCTCAAGGCTATGTATGCTCAGGCGATTGTGCCTTTGGATTCATCTTCTTGCACTCCCGATCGAAAGACGCTTCCTCCGAAGTACAAGAAAAGGCCTGGGCGTAGGAAAACTAAGCGCATTCGCTCGAGAGGTGAGTTTGACCCTCTTAAGTTGCGAAAATGCAGTAGGTGCAAGCAGAAGGGGCACAACGTGCGCACATGTGAGGATCGAGAAGAGGCACGGGCACGGGGAGGACAAAGGTCGGTCCAGGACCACATTGACCTGCAAACAAGTGTAGTTCCACGGGTCGGGGGAACATACATTGCATGCACGGTGTGTGGGCATCAACACAGGTTCAGAGATAACTGCCGTCGACGCGAGCAGCAAGGACATGGGCAGCAGCAAGGTAGTGGGCAGCAGCAGGAATGTGGGCAGCAGCATGGAAGGGGGCAGCAGCAGGGAAGGGGACAGCAGCAGGGAAGGGGGCAGCAGCAGGGAATGGGGCAGCCGCAGGGAGGTGGGCAGCAGCATGAAAGTAGGCAGCTGTAGGGAAGTGGGCAGCAGGAGGAAAGTGGGCAACAGCAGGGAAGGGGACAGCAGCAGGGAAGGGGCCAGCAGCAGGAAAGGGGGCAGCAGCAGGGAAGGGGGCAGCCGCAGGGAGGTGGGCAGCAGCAGGGAAGGGGGCCGCAGCAGGGAAGGGGGCAGCAGCATGGAAGTGGGCAGCTGCAGGGAAGTGGGCAGCTGCAGGGAAGTGGGCAGCAGCAGGGAAGGGGGCAGCAGCAAGGAAGTGGGCAGCTGCAGGGAAGTGGGCAGCAGCAGGGAAGGGGGCAGCAGCAAGGAAGTGGGCAGCTGCAGGGAAGTGGGCAGCAGCAGGGAAGGGGGCAGCAGCAAGGAAGTGGGCAGCTGCAGGGAAGTGGGCAGCTGCAGGGAAGTGGGAGGCAGCAGGGAACGGGGCAGCAGCAAGGAAGTGGGCAGCTGCAGGGAAGTGGGCAGCAGCAGGGAAGGGGGCAGCAGCAAGGAAGTGGGCAGCTGCAGGGAAGTGGGCAGCAGCAGGGACAGCTGGGGCTGCACTTAGGTGATTTGATGCAACGGGAGGTGGAGAGGCCACACGAATCCTCTGAGAGTGTTCCAATGCACCGTGTCCGTGGTTCGACCCCACCTTCTGAGTGGGTGGTTGAGATTGAGGACTTTGAGGAAGGAGCCGATGAAGAGACTGTCATGACGCAGAGGAGGAAAATACAGAAATGGTGGACGAGCAACAAGGACCTGCCACAACGGTCATGAGAGGTGTGGAAACAGATGGAAATGCGGGAACGCAAGATGATGCTCCAGAGCCGGCATGTGAGGGTGGCGTCGACGAGGAAGAAGGCTCATCTGATGATGACTGTGGCTGTGATGAAACGGATGTTGAAGAAGGGGAGCAGCAGCTTGCTATTACAAATGGTAGGGAACAGGGTGCGACCTTAGAGGTCCTTACCATGGGAGATGCACAGCTGCAGATGGAGGGTCCACATGGTACATGTGACGAGGTGCCATCCGCGAACGAGACGGGCATGCAAGTACCTGGTCTCAATCCACACACAACTGCAAGTGCATTGGTGGGGGACGATCTGAGCATGCATAATGATGGTCAAGTTAGTTCAGACGCCCATGCACACACAACAGGCAATGTTACCCAATGTGTTGGTGATGCACAGCCGATGGATGCAACCCCCCATCAAACCTCAAACCCAATGGCACCATTCTGGTCACATTTTAGTGTGCAAGACCAACCTAATGGCAATGAGCCAGTTGGAACGCGACGATTAAGACGAAGACAGAGGTTCAGGTTACAGGTTGAGGTGGTCCCCGAGGAAGGTGAGGAGGAAGGGGGAGGGGGTGAGGAGGATGAGGACTCCGATCATGGGCAAGGACGCTCACAGCCTGGTGGTCGAAGGGTTCGAAGGAGACAAAGTCGAACACAGCGTCCGCATCAAGGTGGTCGAGCAAATGGGAGATCAAGGGGACAGGATCCTATGGTTCAGCAGCAGCCTGATGCAACACTACTGATCCAGCAGCTGCAGCAGCAGATGATGCAGTTGCAGCAGCAATTGAACCAGCAGCAGGCCGCAACAGTTCTACAGCATCAGCAACCACTGTTGATGCAGCAGCAGCAGCATCAGCCTCCGCTGATGCAGCAACAGCAGCAGATTCAGCCACTGATGCAACAGCAACATCAGCCACAGATGCAGCAGCAGCAGGTGCAGCAGCAGCAGCTTCAGCCCCAGGGAAGGCAGCAGCAGCAGTTTCAGCCACTGATCAGCAGCAGCAGCAGCAGCAGCCACTAATGCAACAGCAGCATCAGCCACTGATGCAACAGCAGCAGCAGCCACTGATGCAACAGCAGCATCAGCCACTGATGCAACAGCAGCATCAGCCACTGATGCAACAGCAGCATCAGCCACTGATGCAACAGCAGCATCAGCCACTGATGCAACAGCAGCATCAGCCACTGATGCAACAGCAGCATCAGCCACTGATGCAACAGCAGCATCAGCCACTGATGCAACAGCAGCAGCAGCCACTGATGCAGCAGTACCAGGCGCAGCAGCAGCAGCAGCCCCAGGGAATGCTGCACCAGCAGTTCCAGCCACTGATGCAGCAGCAGCACCAGCCACTGATGCAGCAGCAGCAGCAGCAGCAGCAGGCGCAGCAGCAGCAGCAGCAGCAGCAGCAGCAGCAGCAGCAGCAGCAGCAGGTGCAGCAGCAACAGCAGCAGCAGTAGCCACTGATGCAACAGCAGCAGCAGCCACTGATGCAGCAGCAGATTCCGCTTCAATCCTGGGAAGCAGGATACTTCCAGGATGCAGGCCTTGCACACCAGCAGCAGCGCTATCAACGCCAACTGAGGCGAGAGAAAATGCTAACCAGGCGCTCAACACAGGGAATCAGCAGAGCATCACGCCAGGGCAGGTATCGAGCCGCATCTCAGACTCTCTCCCCCTATCTCTTGCTGAATGTCTTCCGGTCTTTTCTTTTTTGGACTCTCCTCTTGTTCATTATCTGTGCCTATACCATGCTTAAAAAATTGCTCAACCTGCGTGCCAATTTTTTATTTGGCAGGTGACTCACTTCAGTGTACGCAAGACGGCATCAAGGCAATCGCCATGTGATTTACTATTACTGTTTATGCTACCTTTTGCACTAGGAACCTTTCGTAGTAGACAAACACTACACCAAAGATAATAGGTAGTAAACATGTTCGCAAGCATGTTTAGGGTCAATCCGCCGGGGACGGTTCATTTGTGTATTACCTGACCTGCTTGAGCCCCATTTATTTGAGTAATCATATCATTCACCAACAGAGCTATGTTTCTGGAATTGTTCGGCCTTTCTTCTCACCCACTCTCTTACATTCTCTATCTATGTCTCGCTCTCTCTCAACCTTTCTCCCTCGCTCTCTTTCAATCTCTCTCTCTCTCTCTCTCTCTCTCTCTCTCCTCTCTCTCTCTCTCTCTCTCTCTCTCTCTCTCTCTCTCTCTCTCTCTCTCTCTCTCTCTCTTTGACAGAGAAACATATACCTGTATAGATCTTAATGTATACCGTCATACCCCGGATATAAGGAAGACAAGGAGGAGGGAGGGAGAGAGTGAGAGGAGGAGGAGGAGGAGGAGGAGGAGGAGGAGGAGGAGGAGGAGGAGGAGGAGGAGCCATTTCTCTTAATCAACATGGAATATGACTATTTTCAATTGCATTTTATGAATCCCGCACTTCTCTAGGATGTGGGGGGGTCTTATAATGTAAGGAGCCATTTAGGGGTTTATAACTTAAATGTACTCGAATAGAGTACTTGGGCCCGTATTATAGTCTAGAGGGTCTACAATTGGGGGGGGGGGGGGGGGGGGGGGGGGGGGGGGGGGGTCCTATATACGGGGGATTAAGGGTTATATAACCCTAAACACGTAATCTTTAAATTTAGAAATGTGTTCAAAACGCTGTCACGATGTTTTATTTAGCAAGCGGATGTGTTGCATATTTGGTTCCCTTCACACTTGGACCCTGCATTAGATGCGAGTCCAGTCGGCAGGAGCTCTCTGGAGCTGTCAGGAGTTGGATGTGAATCAGATTGAGTGTATCTTCCAGCACGAGATCTACAGTTCGGAGTTAGAAAATATATATTAAAAAAAACATATGTAATTTTATTAGTGCCTGTGCTTATAAATGTGACTCAATAATTGTTGGGCTGAGATGGCCCCTTAGGATCTTTTCAGGAGTAACTCTGGGTAGGATAGTATTGTAACAGCGGAAGCTTTAATAAAACTTGTGAATCACCTTGCGCTAGTGTGTGAGGGCAAAGTAGATTGATTATAACAGGAAAGTACAAGAATATATAGTAGTGCAAGGAATATCAAAGGATACAGTTATAACTACTTTTACTGTTGCTGTTGCGGTTCGATACAGTACGACTCGGGCAACTGCTCTGTAACGAGTCAGTTGTATGTCCTTAACTGTCGCGCTGTACTTGTCGGGTCAAAGGTTGCTGACCTTTGACTTTCGCGTAACCTCCAGCAACCTCTTTTTAACCTCCGAGGGTTGACTCGCGGGTGCTTCGGTGTAGTTTGCCTCGCTTCTGGTGCGGTGTTTCGACACGACTGAAGCGCTTAAGTTTTATTGTTTCCAACACTCCCCTTCGCTTCTGGAGTGTCGCTGCTGATGACGTGGCTTTGTCCAGTCAGCAGCATGCAGTACTCGAACTTTTGTTTTCCAAGCTTCTTGGTCAAGTAGTCAGCTGCCATCTCAGACGTGGGACAGTACGATAGCTCGAGTCTCCCTTTCTCGATCTCGTCCTTTACGAAGAAGTAACGCAGGGCGATGTGTTTCGTCTTGTTCGCGAAGCCGTTCTTGTTGGCGATACGAATTGCTGACTGGTTGTCGCAGAACACGGTGAAGTTGGGTAACTCGGCTAACTTCGCTTCTTCCAGCAGCTCGCGAAGGTAAAGTCCCTCCTTGGTGGCTGAGCAGAGCGCGATATATTCTGCTTCGGCTGAAGATAGTGCAATTAACTCCTGCTTGCTCGACTGCCAGGAGATAGGACCGATAGGTTCGAGGCGGTAGACATAGCCGGTGCGTGAGCGCCTGTTGTCAGTGTCGCCGGCGTGATCGGCATCGACGTAGCCGATTAGCTTGGTTGGTGTAGCTGCGTTCTTGTGATAAGTTAGGCCGATCATCGCGGTGCTGATAAAGTAGTGCAGAGCGCGGTCAAGTTCCGCCAGGTGTTCTGCTTCAGGCTTCTTGAGATGAGTGGCGAGCTGGCTTGCGGAGTAGGATAGGTCGGGTCGGCAAGTGACGGCTGCGAAGAGGAGGCAACCTAGCTTCCTCTGATAGTCGCGTATGCCGGCGGGCTTAAGTGGGGCAGATTCCTTATCGGCTCCTGTCGTGTAGCGGTATGGTGTTGAGATCGCGGCTGGCGTAATTCCGAATCGTTTGGCGATGGTGTCGGCGTACTTTTCGGCGCTGAGGTAGATCGCGTCGTTATCTTCTCGAATGTTAAGTCCGAGATACTGTGTGACGGTAGATGAGACAGTGAGGGTGAGGTCCTTCTGCAGCTCCCCTTCGAACCAGGTGGTGATGCCGTCGGTAGAGCCGATGTAGAGAAGATCGTCCACGTAGACAATTAGCAAGATGTAGTCGCTGTTCTTCGTGAGGCGGTACATGCCCTGATCGTGCGGGAGTTGTTTGAAGCCGATGCGGATGAGGCGAGTATGCAGGTACTGCTGCCACAGTCGCGGCGCCTGTTTGATCCCGTAGAGCGATTTTAGTAGCTGGCAGACGTGCGTGGAATTTGTGTTGGAGCCGTGCGGTAGTTCCACGAAAATCTCTGCATCGACCGGTGCGTAGAGAAATGCGTTCGCGACGTCGATTTGGCGCAGTTTCTTCTTCTTCATAGCGGCGATGGCGAGAAGAATTCGAAGTGAAGTGTGGCGGCTGACCGGAGCGAAGGTTTCGGTGAAGTCTCGTCCATGTTCCTGGTCGAAGCCGCGAACGACCCAACGCGCTTTGAACTTGTCGATGGTGCCGTCGGCCTTCGTCTTCACACGGAAGACCCATTTCCCGGTAAGAATGGTCTTGTTTCGCGCTACGCCGATGGGAACGACTTTCCAGGTGTTGCGTTCCTCTAATGCCTTCAGCTCCTTGTCCATGGCTTCGCGCCATTTTTCCTTATGCTCCCCCCCCAGAGCCTGCTGAACTGTCGCAGGCTCCTTAGGAATGTTGACGCCGTGGACCGCGGTGACGAGACCAAGG